CCCCCCCCCCACGTGTCCTTTCCCCCTGCACACCTTCCCAGCCACTCATCCACAATCCTGGAGCGTTGCAGGGGGTTGTGGCCCAGATGTGGGACGTGGCACTTGGCCTTGATGAACCTCACAGAGTGGCCTCGGCCCATCGATCCAGCCTGTCCAGATCCCTCTGCAGATCCGTCCTATGCTCAGGCGGATCGACACTCCCACCCAATGTGTTGTCATCTGCAAAGCGACTGAGGGTGCCCTCAATCCCCTCGTCCAGGTCACTGATACAGACGATAAAGAGAACTGGTCCCAGTGCCAAGCCCCGGGGAACAAACCACACACTGGTGACCAGCTGCCACCTGGGGTTAGCTCCATTCCCCACCACCCTTTGGGTTGGGCCATTCAGCCAGTTTTTTATCCAGCAAAGAGCACACTAATCCAAGCCACGAGCCACCAGTTTCTCCAGGAGAATGCTCTGGGAAGTGGTGTCAACGGCTTTACTAAAGTCCAGGTAAACAACATCCACAGCCCTTCCCTCATCCACTAAGCAGGTCACCTTATCACAGAGGGAATCAGGTTCATCAAGCAGGACCTGCCTTTCACAGACCCACACTGGCCTGGTTGTCCTGTACGTGCCCCATGACGGCACTCGAGACGATGTGCTCCGTGATACAGACACCGAGGAGCTCAGCGTCGGGACAGGAGCAGGGAGGAGATGCGACAGAGGCTGGGGGCTGCTGCTGGACCACTGCGCATGACCTCAGCCCGCAGGCAGCAAAACTGCATCACATCTACTCATCTCGACACGGCCAGAGCTGTGAGGCTGGGCCGGCCCACGTGAAACCCCGCCGAGGGAAGCACACCACCCTCTCCCACCACCAGCTCTAACCACTGACCAATGGGGCTCATGACACGTGTGCTGTGCTCGTAGGACCCTCAGGAGGCTCACAGCGTGCTGAGCACGGACCCACTGGTACAAACCCAGGCAGAGGCGTGCTGAATGTGCCACCCACAGGACCGGGGCCAGGAGATGCCACCCAAACAGAGTATTTTGGGAGACAGGGGCTTATGCTGCAGAGGCCAGGGAGGTAACACCTCACCGGGTGAGGAAAGGGGGGCCCAGCACCCTCCCTGACCCCAGCAGAGGAAACCGCAGCCCTGACTCACACGCTGAACTCCTCGAGACCAGCCAGCATGATGCAGGAGTGACAAGAACAGCCTCAGCAGCAAACGAAGCGAGCCAGAGAGCCCAGGGCGCAAAAGCTCGCCAGCCACCAAGCACGGACAGGCATCTCAGCAGGGAGTCAAACCTAACACCAGCCACGAAAGCTGCCCAACGCCCTGAGGTCAGCAGTGACGAGCGCTGCCTTACCAGGATCCCGGCGTTCTTCACAGCCAGAGGCAGCCCCAGCAATCCCGTGCCAATATTCCCCTTCAGGAGATGGATCAGGGTCTGGTACCACCTGAGGGACAGAAGATGCAGAGACAACCGTCAGCAGACACCTGCACTAACCCTGCACTCTCATCCCTCAGCTCATGCCCAGGTATCCTCTGAAGCTGGACATGCTGTCTACCTGCCACAGCTCCTCACAGAACCTAGCTGGAGAGGGGGAATATTGGGAACAGCATCAAACCCTGCCTGCTGCCAGCAAGCCCAGCCCCACCAGAGAGCAGAGCCACACTGGAGCAACTGCTCGCTTGGTGCCAGCACCCTACGGAGGCAGGGCCACAGCTCTGCCCTCAACACCCCCAGGAGGGAGTCCCCCTAAAACCCCAGCTCCCCCATCCTCCAGCAAAGCTGCAGGCAGCAGGGAGCCACCGTTACCTCCTCCACGGTCCCCGGGTGCTGGGCCAGCCCAGGAGGGAGGGGAGCATCACTCACGTTGTCCCGTTGGACTCCCCAAAGCGCTGGTAGGACTCGGGGTGGGCAAAGCCATTCATGCCCCCAGGCGGGCTCCCCTCCGGCGTGACGTCCGTGGAGCTGTAGTCGTTGTAGTCCTCGCTGCGGAGGCGCCGGGTGGACATGGTCCCTGCGGGGGGAGCAGCATTAGGGGTGCCCAGCTCAACACCCTCTTTCTCAGGCTCCTTGGGGTCAGCCATGGTGCAGGGAGACCAGCTCGTACTGCCAGAGCAAGGGCTCCTTCAGGGCTTTTATACAGCAACGTGCTCCCGCCCAAGCAATCGCAGAGCTGGCATGTCCTAAGGTCAAAGGTGCACGGCACGTTCTCATCGCCTCCTCCTGCAGGCTCGTGCCCCCGTTTCGGGCACACCCAGGCAGCGTGGATCCCGCAGGCAGAGCCTGGACGTGACCCACTTTGCGTCGGGCAAGGGACCTGTGTAGCTCTGCTCCAAGGGTGGCGCGTGTGGCACCACGGCCACGGGGAAGGACATGCCGGCAGTGTGTCCCCAGCCCTGGCACTCGGGACTAGGGCTGTCAAGAGGATGGCCAGGAACCACTTTTAACCCACACAGCTTGCTGCAAGGGAACAGCTTGCTTTTGCCAGGGAAAGGAAAGTTTCCTAACTTCTCTTTTTTTGTTGTTGTTGGTTTTTTTTTTACATTTTAGACTTTCCATTAAAAAGAATTTTAAAAAATTGATTGTGCTCCATCAGGCAGGAGCACAGCCCACGTGCTGACAGCAAACCACCCACCCCAAAGGTTTCACACCCACGGAGGTGCCTACGGCTCTAAGGGGCTTCCCAGGAGGAGGCACCTGCACTGGCTCCAGCGAAAACCAGGGTCCTGCACGCCAGGAGCACCAGCACAAGCCCTCAGCAAGCACGCACGCCTCCTGCCTTCAGATGGAAAGCGATCAGCTGGTTTAATTCCCACACGCGCCCTGAAGAGATCCTGCTGCTCCTGCACAGCCTGACGCCCCTATCCCAAAAAAAACTTTGCTTCCTCCAGCCCCTCAGCCTCACACACCACCCCAGGCACCCACCAG